TGTAGCGAGAGACTGACTAGCACATGTACTGGGATTCTGATGACGAATACTGACGAATACGAAGAATAATCCGCTAGTTGCAATTGCAATGGCAATACTAGGAGCACGTTGGATGGACAAAGTCCTGTCTGCCCCAGCCCTCCATGCAGATAGGACGTGAAAACCACAGCGGTATACTGCTCGGAAGCTCATGGGGAAGTCTGTCCATGAACTGGTAGACATACTAGTCTAAATCTAGGCCTCCTATGTACCAAACGGGAAATCCTTGTTCTAGGGCCTCCGCCAACAGACCCATTCTTCAATCCCAAACAATCCACCATAGCGTCTAGGAGTCCCGAAAATGGGTAGTGCAACCAATGCAAAACCTCGCGCCTCCGCCGAGCCTGGTTTCGGTCCCTCCTGATCGGGGATGTTTCAAAACCGACCCCATGGCTTCACATTGCCCAAAGTAGATATGTTTGATAGACGGTAGGTGCCTAAAGTAAACATTACTTATAGATTTAGAGCCCCAAGAAGGTGTTTGTTCTCCTCAAAAACAAGTGCTGGCAGGAGGGACCTGGGGCTATTTGGAGATCTGAAGCCAATGAGCTCGAAGTGGTTTAGCGTTTTGAGAAACTCCCAATCACCGCGTGCCTCAATTGCAACTCTAGTAAGGCCTTAGTCAGGGTACATCAAAGGCGCCAAGTACAACCAAATAGACTTTAACAAGCCTTTCGCCTATACCGTCCTATGACTTATGACCACACGCAGAATTACCCATGAACCTCCAAGTAACAGGAGGCTTTGGAAAGCAAAAAAATTGCAGGTATTCGAAAAGTGTTTGGCTTCAATTAAGGGATGTCTGCCCTAAACGCCCAACCCTAAACCTTTAACCCTGAAACCGCAATCCTAAACCTTTTGGTTCGTCAGGGGTGGGTGGGGTTGGGGTGTAGGTTTGGGCTGATGAAGGTGAATGGGGTTCGGAGATTATGCTTTAGAGTTATACGGTGCTTGCCTGGACCCTCCAATGTTGTTTCCTGTTGTGTTTCATATGTTGTTTGGTGGGGATTATGGAAAAGGGGGCATGGGGCGTTGTTTGATGGCAGAATGGGCGCCACATTCCAGGCTGAACTTAAACCATAGGGGCCTGAACCGCTAGAATTGGGATTGCGGTAGGTTATGATATGATACTCACGCAGGGACCAGAGGGAGTAACACTGGTCAATCCTTCGGCCATACGTAAGTTAGGTGCTGAGGTTAGAGGGCCGGGGCTCAGGATTCAGGGTGGCAGTGGGAAAGCTGGTCTGGTTGTTGCAACATGAGGCAAGCAAGGGGCTCAGACCGAATTGCAGCGGTATTAGGGTCGTTTTACGAAGACGCTGTACCTACAACCGATTGAAACTTCCATATCAGGTGTGAAATGAAAGCGATTTTCGCATGGATCTTCAGTATACCCTCCCTCGAAATAACATGGAACCTGGAAGGTGGAATCCAGAGCCTGATAACTCTTTAACTAACAAACAAAAAGGCCCATGTTCCTTTGCCACGAGCCCTCTTCGCTAGCAAGCCGATCCTGAACCAAGAGCAAGAAGCAAGCCTTCCATCCGTGCAAGCCATCTTCAAAGCGGTAGCTTCCAAAAAACTGCCCTTAATCACTAAACCCTAAACAGCACTCAAACCCCAAACCCCCAACCCTGAGCCCTAAATCCTAAACCCTAAACCCTAAACCTTAAGCCCATGAAAGCTTGGAGCGGCAGGCTCCTTGCCGCTGACGCGCCGGCGGACCTCCGCGAGCCTGGCCTTGCCATCCTGGGTTTGAGGAAAAAGGGTTTTAGGGCCGAGGGTTTAGGGTTCAAGGTTCAGGGCTTGGGGTTTAAGGCTTAAAGCATGGGGCTTAGATTGTATGGTTTAGGGCTTAGGGTGTAGCATCGGTCAGCTGGACGCATTCGTATGCAGACTTGCCCACCCCAAGGCCACCCAAACACTACTCACAGCGAACCAAAAACAGCCAGCCTAACCAAGCCAGCAATATCCTCTTCAATAGCCATTACATTCAAGCATATTCAAGCCAAGTTGCTCGAAATCTATGACATCACTATGCTGGCTAGGGACGCAGTGATGGCCCGGGCAGGCGGGGTATGTTTTTGTGTGCACAATAATTTGCATGAGATGCCAACGTCTTGCATTGGCCCGTGTTTGCAAGGGCCTGTTCCCTGGATCTGCACTGCTGAGCCCACGAAGTTTGACGTGCAAAGCTTACATCCGAAAGAATCAAGACAGAAGCCAACGAACCAGCTGCAGCTTTTCGAGCTGCAGATTCGAAAATGGACCTGGCGCTGGTTTTGTGCATGGAGCCTGGAATCGGCAAGCAAAAGCTAAGCCCGAGTGAGAGATCACATTGCGGGGACGAAGTGCTCGGCAGCGATGCAGCCACACGGCAGATAGTCGGAGTCTTGTCGCACGCGGGACAAGGCCACGTACCCCGCTGCAGGGCAGCCCGGGCGATCCGGCCAGAAAGTCACGTGACGGAGTTCGGCACGCTGGAACTTGTGCACGGGATCTGCGAACCCCAGGCGAACAGGATAGCACGTGATGTAGCCACCGTGGACGCTGTCGTCCGCCACGGGGTAGACACCGATAGTCTCGGCCGTCTCTGTCTGCGCAATGCCTGCGCCCCGGCGCGAATCGAAGCTCTGGACCGTGGCCGCCATCCCCTTGACAAAGTCATGGCTATTGTCCATGTTGCGCGTGAGGCGTGTGCATGCGGAGGCCAGCATAGAGGGTCATACTCGAGAGGCGCGAAACGGAGCCCGGTGCTTCATCCCAAGTGGAGCCTGGTCCACAAGGTTGAGCTTCACCACGTTTGGCGCCAGACAGTGACTTTGCTGAACAAGTTGGCCTTCCGCTGTGAAAAGAGAGCGCTGGGGCAAGCTGGCCAGGGCTTTGTACGGGCTCGGTTCAGGCACCACCGACCTACGATGAAGGATCAACGCGCTCAGTAGAAGACAGGCAAGGATACGAACGTCATCACCTGCACATATGGCTGCCTCCCCGAGGCTCGGGAGGCGCCGCGCCGGCTGCGCGGGGGATTTTTATGGGGCGAAGCGGATGGCGTTTAGCAGGCAAGTGTGCGCACCCGCCTGCCGCGGACAAAAAGCTGGGGTTTGGAGTTATATAATATAAGGGCGTGACAGAGCTCCAGGACCAAGCCTGGCGACCGGCTCTGCAGCTCAGCAGAGCCTGTCATGGTCTCGCTGCCGCTCGACGGCGCCCACCTACCCACAGAATGAGAGGGGTGGTGGGCGGGTTCGCAGTTTAAGGCTTAGGGTTTAGGGCTCAGGGTTCAGCATCTCAAGTACAAGCATTCCCTAGTAGAGCAATGTGGTCGAGGTACAGAGCAATACCCACCCACCCATAGAATCCCGTAACATGAAGAAAATTGGAGTGTTTTTTTGTCGGCTCCATTCTTTATTGTCTCGCGGCATCGTCTCTACACAGCTTGGAAAACAACATGTTCACAACTCTGTCGTCGTTCTGGTATACAGGCATCTGAAGAGCTGTGACGCCCAAAACCCTGGAGGATGACGCTGTCACACCCAAAACCCTTAAGCACACTGTAACGCAGCTTGTTCACTCCCCACCCCACCCTGGAACCAACCCTCCTGCGTGTTGCTTAGACCCTTGCATTGCCAAATTTTTGTGGTCGAACCACTGGTTACGTCAGCCTCCGTAGCCTGTGTATTGCCTCGTTTGTCAGCATTAAATGCACAAAGCCCTGGAGCGATCACATTGTGATGCCCAAAACCTTGGAAGCATTATTCAGTGATGACCAAAATCTTGGAGTTGGATCCATGCAGCTTGTGTAATCTCTTGGCATGTTTTGAGCCCCTGCAAACCCCTGATGTGGAGGGGTTCCCTGAAGCCCTGAATGGCTCGGGGCCTGCAAAGGCCTTTCAGGAACCTCCCAGGGGCCTCTCCAGGTCTTGGAAGGCCAGTCAGATTCGCGTTAAACACAAGTCAATTTCGCCTTGTACACAAGTCAGATTCGCCTTATACACAAGTCAGTTTGCCTTATACACAAGTCAGATTGACCTTCTACACAAGTCAGATTGACCTTCTACACAAGTCAGATGTGCCCTATACACAAGTGAACTGACCTTGCACGCAAGTAAATTTACTTTAAGCACAAGGTTGTGTATAAGGCAAATCTACTTGTGTGTCAGGCAAACCCACTTGTGTATAAGGTAAATCTGACCTCAAAACATAATTTAAGGCAACACACAAGTAGATTCGCCTTACACGCAATTCCTTAAACAAGTCAGATTGACCTTGTACACAAATATGATTTGCCTTATACATAACTGATTCTGTCAAAGGTCAAAAAAACCTTATACACAAGTGGATTCGCCTTATACACAAGT